TCGGGCAAGGATTGGACTTGTGGGCCGAGCAACAGAACTCAGGCTCAGATTTGGTGTTGGCGAGTTGCAAGTCGGGGTCGATCTAGAGTGACTCGGGCAAAGATCGGACCTGTGGGTCGAGCGACAGAACTCAGGCTCAAGTTTGGTGCCGGTGAGTCGCAAGTTGGGGTCGATCTGGAGCAACTTGGGCAAGGATTGGACTTATGGGCCAAGCGACAGAACTCGGGCTCAGGTTTGGTGCCGGTGAGTCACAAGTCGGGGTCGATCTGGAGCGACTCGGGCAAAGATCGGACCTGTGGGCTGAGCGACAGAACTTGGGCTCAGGTTTAGTGTCGGCGAGTCACAAGTCAAGGTCGATCTGGAGCGACTCGGGCAAGGATTGGACCTATGGGCCGATCGACAGAACTCAAGCTCATATTTGGTGCCGGCGAGTCACAAGTCGGGGTCGATATGGAGCGACTTGGGCAAAGATCAGACCTGTGGGCCGAGCGATAGAGCTTGGCCTTAGGTTTGGTGCCGGTGAGTCACAAGTCGGGGTTGATCTAGAGCGACTCGGGCAAGGATTAGACTTGTGGGCCGAGCGACAGAACTCGGGCTCAGATTTGGTGTCGGCGAGTCGCAAGTCGGATCTGAAGTGACTCGGGCAAAGATTGGACCTATGGGCTAAGCGCTTCGTTGGGCATCGTGCCATATTTTTCCCACAGATGGGGTGCCATGTGGCGGCCAGGCCGGACAAGGTGCGGGGTCTGGGGGAAGCTTCTCGCTTTGGATGATTTCTGGCAGGAGATTTTGGGCAACGAGGCGTCTTTGGCAGGATTCTCGAGGGCGGTGAATCTGGCGTATCTGAGGAGTCATGATGTGTTTTAAATACTGCGTCCATCTCTCTCCTTGGGGAACCCAACCGTTGTCTAGGCAGCAGAGTAGTCTGCTCTTTATAAGCTTCTCCTGGAGCAGTTGCTACTTTTGCTCGATCCTTCGCCCTACGTCCCGGTTTCTTCCTTCCAAATCCGAGGTCGGGATGTCTCCATCTTCTCATTCGCCTTCTTCATCTTCTTCTTTTGAGGCCCTGCGAGCTGAAGCTATTAGTGTGTCCTCCAGTGGCACTCGCTTGGAGGCCGTGGGGAGCTTTATCGCGCTTGAAAGTCTCAAGTCGTGGCATGATGTGGACTCGGTGGTGACCGAGGACCTTTTGAGGGCACTTTGGGATCGCTATCGCATCCTGGAGTGCTATGTCGTTTCCGCCTCTTGGCTTGGCCAGCAGCCATATGATTCGTGCCCCGACGGGTTCGGGTTGACCACGGGGGCCCTCGAGGCAGGGCTGCGGTTCCCGCTGCATCCTGTTATTGAAGAGTGTCTCCATAAGTGGGACATATCGCCATCCCAGATGGTGCCAAACTCTTGGCGTTATCTAGTGGCATTTCTTAGGGAGTGTTGGGGAGCCGAGATCAAGCTGACCAGGACCCTCTTTCTGGCCTGCTTTCGTTTGTGTAGGGGTCAAGGTGGGTATTACTTGACCTCCCATAGTGGGTTTAAGATCAGCGACACTCCTTCCAACAACAAAGGTTGGAAGAGCCGCTTCTTTTTCGTCAGTTGCAGTCGGGGGTGGGGCTTTAATACTGGATGGATCCCCCGAACCGTCGACAATACCCCCCCATTGCTTTCTATTGGAGAAATAGCGGACATGAATCAACTGAGAGGCATCCTATCCTACTCTCGGGCAATCGGAGCGATGACCGAGGAGTGGCTGGTCAAAGCAAGATTGAGCCATGCCACCCGGGGTATGGCTAGTAGCGTGTTATGAGTCGCCCGCTCGTCCCGGGGTACCTGACCTATCGATTTTCTGTTTGTAGAGATGGTGGATCTTCTGCAGGTGAAGGGAATGTCCCACGGCAGGACCGCTATGCCAGTGTCTTGGGGAGACGATGGTTCTAGAGCTGGGGGTGCCCTACGGAGGGACACGCCGAAGAGGGCGATAGGCTCGACGGAGGGGAGCCACCCTCGGAAGAAAGTGAAGGGGCTAGCCCGAAAGATTCCTGCGAGTTCGACCACACACGAGGGTACCGCCCCGGGCTCACCCGAGGTTGCTCCCCAAGCCGGGGGCATGGGGAGTGCGAAGGAGAGGGTGGTACCCGAGTCGGTCCGGCCTCCGATGGGGTGGCACCAAGGCTGTTGAGGCAGCACCTCGGGACTATTCGGCCCTTGGCCTCTTTCCTGCCACCAGTGCTTCGGTGGCGATGTACTGGTTGGCGCACTGGAGCATCTCGGAAATGGTTGATGGCAGCTTCTCGATCAGTGACTAGAAGAATCTTGAGGGCTTTAAACCCATCAGGAATGCTTGCATGATTAAAGAAGGATGAGCGTCTAGGAATCCCCATATTTTAGTGGCAAAATGTGCTACGAACTGGGAGAGGGTCTCGTCCTCGTGTTGGGATAATGCGAGCAAGGTGGCCATAGAAGGCATGGGTTGCACACTGGCGAGGAAATTCTATTCGAACTCCCTGGCGAGCTGGTCGAAGGACAAGATGGAGGAGGGACATAGCCGACCGAACCACGTTCGGGCTGGTCCCCTAAAGGTGCTAGTCATAGGTGCCCAGCAAGCCAATCACGTGAGTGATGACACGTGTGACTTGATATAAAATCTTTTTGCTTATTATATTTTGGCATATATCACTTTATAACTTATATATATATATATATATATATATATATATATATAATATATATATATATATAGTGATGTCCTTGGATTTGTGCAATGGGAATCGAATCGTGATGAGATCATGAAAATGAGATCGATTCACCTTTAAACACATATCCTAAATAATCCCGGTCATAGGTTACTCGAGAGGGACATCGTGATAACCGGACAGACTGGTGTGCTGTATACCCATCCATATGATGGATGTAGCTAATCTCATAGCTGCTCGTGTAAGGACACTAGGGATACAGTACAGGTGCTCATTGGAGAAAGAGTTCACTAATTAATCAGCTTACGGAATGCTGGATGGTTGATAATGCCTTATTATCAGACAGCGATTCCGTAGTCCTAGTGGTATATCTGGTCCTTAGACTTGAGACACCAAGGATGTCTTATATGAGTGCTCCACTCTTTGATACCGGACTTATAGGTTTGGATGTCCCAGATCTAGTACAGCTGGTCATTGGGAGTGGTAGTCGACCTTACGAGGGCTATTGAGTGTCGATAGAGGATCATCCACTCTCAGCGTCATGAGAGGAATATCCTATGTGTTCTTGCTCAGACAAATCCCTAGCCAGGGTCATTCGGGTTGAGAGAAAAAGAGTTCTCCGAGAGAATCCGATTAGAGCGAGACTCGAGTAGAAACCGTATGGGTCTGACAACACCATACTCGATATACGATCTCTGGGATATTAGATGAATGGGGGACTATAGGTACATGGTAACTGAGGACAGACAAGTCCAATGGATTGGATTCCCCTGTATCGTTTGGGGACTACAGCGTAGTGGTCTAGTACGTCCGTAGTCGATGAGTCAAGTAAATTATTATAGAGATAATAATTCACCGAGTTAGAAGGAGTTCTGATAGGTATAACTCACAGCCAGCTCGATATTGGATCTAGAGAGTCACACACATATGGTAGGCATTACGATGAGTAGAGGTTCGGATATGAGATATCCGACGGAGCCTTTGTCTTATTGGATATCCAATAAGCCCTTGAATTATTGGATCCCATGGACGAGATCCAATAAGAGCCCATGAGAGATTATTGGATAGAGATCCACTAATCTAAAAGACTTAGGTTATTGGATGTAGATCCAATACATACTAGGGGAGGATCCATTAGGGTTTGACAAGGGGCCTCTATAAATAGGAGGGATTCATAGCCTCATTGGCTAGAGTCTTTGCTTGCCTCTCCTATTCTCCTTCCCCTCTCCACCTCAGAGCAGGCTTGGAGTTTTGAGGAGCATTGTCGCAGCCCTGCTGTGTGGATCACCGCTAGAGAGGAGGACGCTTGACCTCCTTCACCCTCTCCTAAGGATTTGTAAGGAAACATGGATATACGATCTCCCTAGGTAACACAATCTATTCTATACGTAGTTTTTCACTTTCGCGAATTTTGCGCACCAATCTTCGCACGACGACGAACATCTTTTTGGGAATCGGAGATTTTGTTTTCTTGTTATTCTGCTACACATGTGATGTCACCCCCAAAGATTTTCCCAACAGAAGGTGGTCGGGAAGGCGCGACACATCAAGGCATCGGAGGTGTCATAGAGAGTCATTTGAGCCCGAAATGTAGCGACATGCTCTGCGAGGTCTGAGCCGCCATCGTATACCTCCAATGTAGGTAGCCTAAGGTTGAGGGAGACCGGCTTGTCTCGAATTTCCTGAGTGAAAGGGGATCCGCTCGAGCTGTATTCGCCTATCTCCCCCCGCAACTTTCGAAACTCACGTTGGAATTCGTCTAGGCATTGGTTGGCTCGGGACAGTTGGGTCCTCAACGAGTCATCCGTTAAGTTGGACGATATGGTATTAGACTTGGAGAGGGGCAGAGCGATCTGGTAGGGTGCGGATATGCCCTGCTCGGGTAGGCCTCCCAGACTCGTTATGTGTTCTCGGGCTCCTCCCGTCCCGACTTGCTCCTTACTCGGCGCTTGTAGTACCGGATTGATCGGGGGAGTTGCTAGCCAAACAATCTAAGGAATGAGAGGAACGAGTGTCTGCATCATTCTTGCCATCACTTGCACTTGCTTGGTCAAGGTGAGGAATGCCTTAGGCAACACGACCGAGGGTCCTATGGAAAGTCCGGGGGGTGACAACCCCGGGTCATAGGACAGGCGCCAGTAGCGATCCGGGGTCGAGGCCAGGATTCCCCTGTCTTTGAGGATGGGGAGGGACTGATCTCCGGGCCCGACGGAGGGGGGACCGGTCGGCGGTTCTCTCTCGGGTAGAGCTTCTGTCGGGCACTCCTGCGACATTACCCTCTTTCTAGCACCCAAAGTGTTGGTGAACAGATATGTCGTGGCTGCTGAGTCAGCACGACCTTGTCCACGGGTCGATGTCGGGAGCCTCCTGCCAGCTGAGCTAGCTGCTGGGTCGACCGGGTCCTCGCGACGGGGCTTTGGTCAACGTTCTCCAATCCGGGGTAGCTCGATGGTGCACCGCGGGGACGTCGATCGGAGACCTCGGAGGCGGGGACGCACGCGCGACACGGGATACCTACAAAAATCTCTTTCATCGGACGATCCCCGACTTTGGCCCCTCTGGCGCGCAAGTTAGTGGTAGCTTTGCTTTGTCTTTTTTTTTCTCTTGCCCCCCACCCCCCCCCCCTTGGCGCAAGGGCGGCCCGAGGTCTTTATACTACCGTAAGGGGTCAACCGTATGCGGGCTGGCATGATGGACTTGACACGGCCTCGATATGGATTTTGGCTTGACGTGTGAGGCGATGTCGTCCTGGAATTATCGGAACAAGTCGTGTCGAGCAGTGCCTTGGGATACGAATTCTGACATAACATGTGGTGTCGGTTGTGACATGTCCCCTGGGCGAAATGTGTCCTATCACTCAGTATTTCTTATATATACAGTATTCCTTATATTCTTCAACAAGTCCTTTTTAGAAATGCTACAATATTCCTTATACTCAACAATTCCTTGTACTCGGTATTTGCCACATGTCCGTCGCCCGAGTTCTCCCATACGTTCCTTACGCTTGAAGTCTCGCCATATCTGAGTCGATCGGATTCCTCTGTTATTCTCACATCGTCCGGTCTTCTCTGTTTGTTGAGATTATTTTACGTGTATATATTTGGTTCGCATGAGATTTGCATGTTTCTCGATTGTATAATAAGAAATATATAATTAATGCATTAAATATATATTTATTTAAATATTATATTTTGGATCATACCAACAAACAAATGTATATGTCAACGCGAAGTCGATACCAAAGCCAAGTCGTTGAATCTTTTTCCGGGGGGTGTTTTTGAAAAGACAAAGGTGGTAAAGATTCATGTTGCGGGGCCCACCTTTTCCCGCCATTGTTAATTATATTACGATTGCTTTATTTTTATTTTTATATTTATTTTTAGTGGAGGAAAAAAAGAAAGAACGAACGGACGAACCACACGGGTCCTGTTTTAGGGTTGCCTCTTCCGGAGCTCCTGCGATGGACACGCTGATTCCCGAGATTTGCCGGCTGCTCAACGACACCTTGAGTCCAGAGAAAGCCGTGCTAGCGTCCGCCACCGATGGCCTGGATCGTCTCTCGCGTTTTCCTCATTTCCCCCTCTCCCTCCTCGCAGTGGCCACAGGTTGGTTCGTCAGTCGCTGCTCTCCGTTTTTTGTTTCTTTTTTTTTGTTCCTCAAGTTCTAGCTGCTTGGATGTTCTTTCCGTACTCTGTTTCTTGGGATTTGATAACCAAATGATGTGTGATCTTTAGCAAGTTTGAAGTGTCGATGTGCAATCTTTGTTGCCTCTTTTCTTGAATTTGACGAGGGAAACTCGTGAATTTTGTGGTCCTTATTTGTAGGTGGTGACAGCCAGGGGCTAAGACTAGCAGCGGCTGCTTACCTGAAGAACTTTGTCCGAAGTTGTATGGATGACGATCCACAGTCTCTTGAACTTCAGAGGTTTCGGAACCAGCTAGCTCAGGCCCTGCTTCAAGCTGAACCTGCAGTTTTAAAAGTTCTAGTCGAAGTTGTATGCAGCTAACTATTCTTTGTTTGAACTTTTTGCATGCTGAGGCTGATTGATTTTGATCCTTATGCAATGTTTTCATTCTATGAAACAATAATTCTAACTTATTTGTCGGGGAATCATCTCAAACAATCTGAAACTATGCAAACAAGGGCTATGACATCTTGATCGATGGTTTTCTTGTGCAGTAGGACCTTGATGTGAACATATGATGCACCTTTTCAATCTCATGACTGATAATGATTAGCCAATTTCCCTGGTCGGATTCTTAACTGAGAATCTACAATTAAAGCTTTCGTAACTAACCAGTTATCAATCGACGAAGTAAAATGATTACCTTCAGTCAGGATTTCTAATTTTATGTTAGAAATGAATGTTTTACAAAGAGTTGCAGCTACAATTTTCTGTTAAGGATTCTAACTTAGCGATGTGAACATTGTCTTACCTTCGGCTCATGTTCTATTCAGCTATGAGCTTAACTTTTAATTTCAAGTGCTTAAATGGTTACCTTAATTGACCAAATGGCTAAGCTACTATTCTGTTAAGGATTGTTCAAGTGTGAACACATTTGGTGGGCTAGAATATCTTGTTAGTGGCTTCCGGGATTTTAAAGATGAGATCATTTTTCCGAAAATATTGGTTATGGTTTTACTTTTGGTGGAGATATGCTCAGAAAAAATACGATGAATGTATCACTTATATGTACTTCAAAATTTATTAACAATGTCAGTGGTGAGCTTTTGCTGATAATTTTTAATATTTTTAAATTATTTGAGCTAGGTTGAATACGAGTTTCCTGAACAGTGTGCAATGACTAATGATATGTCATGTTTTGTGAAACCTGAATTATTGCGCTGTCTGCCTCTTGTCGAAATGACTGATAATGTATATCCTGAGGCATGTAAAGCAACCAATATGATGTACTATATTATGGCATGGGTGTGTGTGCTTTTACAGAGGCATGAATGTGCCGGAGAAATATGGCTCATGTTGGATGTGCTGTGCCACAATCTAGTAATCAATTTGCATTGTGCAAGTGTGGCCCTGAAATCAATGCTATGAGTTGCTATCCTGTGTATATGGAAACCGTTAGTTGAACTAATGTTGGTCTTGTCTTGCTTTCTTGATCCTGGTTGAGTTTTTTGTTATAGAAATATCTTAAAAGCATGATGGGATAAGACATATTGCACCTGATCAGTAGCATTGGGGTGTTAGGTTTTTTTCAGTAGGTCAGCCATTCTTGATCGTTTGCCTCCTGGAGCATCAAATTTGAGAAGCCAAACTTGAGGGTTTTCTTCCTTTCATGTTTGTTTTCCTTATAACAATTTTTTAGCAGCACTTTCCATATGTGAATTGTTTTCTTACAGCCCTGTTGTTTTCATGTAAATTATCTCTAAGATAAGTTGTTGCACTATCATGCTCTCAGCTCTTTTGGGATTTTGTCTACTCTTTGTTATGACATTACAATTCATTGTGGATTAACTGTTTTGTCCATTAGTATTTTGACAAGCTGCCTTGTACAAGTGGGTGAAAGAATATCCAATATTCTCCGGTAACACATAACAAAATAATTAGAAGTCTCTTTACCATCGTTATCTAGTGACATGCCTCAGTTTATTGTAAAGTTGAAATTTACATACTGCTTATCATGTTTTATTTGGCTCACACTCGCATACCTTATCTAAATTAGTAAATTTCAACATCATTATGAATTGAAGCTAATTTCAATCATGTTATATGTGCTGGCGTGTTCATGTACATAAATTTTCTGTGTCATGCAGTTTCGTCTGATTGTGGTGAAAAACTTTGTGAAGGAGAATACTTGGCCTGAACTTGTTCCCGAGCTAACATCGGTAATCCAAAGAAGCAATCTTATCATCCAAGATAAAAATGCTCAATGGAGTACCCTTAATGCACTTACAGTGCTTCAAACAATCCTAAGACCATTCCAGGTATCTTCTGTACATTCAACAGAAGTTCTCCATGTAATAGTAGTTCTAGATTCTTTTCAGATGATGAGTACCTTTGTTCTGTCAATCTCAATTTAGTTGCTTGCTGAAGCATACAATGATGATGCACAAAGAACACGCTATGAACCAGAGTCTGGACACTGAGTTGCTTTCATGTGAATCTGTTGTAATTCTTTAATAGTGGTTATAGATGCTTCTTGGATGGAGTTTCTTTGCTCTGTTAATCTGAAGTTAGTTGCTTCTGGGAGCCTATTGATGACTATGCACAAGAGCCCATTGTAAATCAGATTCTGGATACTGTGCTACTTTCATGTGAATCTGTTGAATTCTTTGGGAAGTGGATGCATGATATCACATTAAAGGACATTAAAGGAACAATTTCGTTCATGGGTTCATAGCACATGCTCAGTCGAAAAGGCAGTCATTGATCTCCTAACTCCAAAGCTTGAAGAATTCGCTTTTCTCTACTTTGTAAGCATAGAGTTGAAACATGATAGTAACTGCAAAATTATGACATTATTCAGACGGTCATTAAGTGTTCAACTTTTGCATCTTTGAAAACTTAGATGGAGTAATTGTCATGATAAATTTGCATTCAGTAACTAATAGCCTCCGCAATTTCTTGCTTACTGACCCATATTAGTGCCCATGTAATGTTCTTCTCCGTGAGATGGATTTACTGTTTATTTAATTATTTGGTGTATTGTGGGTTAATCAGATGTATTTGTCTCTTTTAGTGTCATTAGGTGAGCTAGTGACAGTGACTGTCCAAGATGACTGACAATTTAGTTAAAAGATCTAGCAATTCTCTTCTTCCTAAGTTATGTTCCTGATGACTCTGATTGATTACTTGTTTTTGTCACAGTACTTTTTGAATCCAAAAGTTCGAAATGAATCTGTACCAGTGCAGTTGGAGATAATAGCACAGGAAATACTTGTGCCTTTACAAGCAACATTTCATGACTTTGTTAATAAGGTTGTACTGTTATTATTTATCAGCAATTTTCTACTTATTCACTTAGCTCTGTTGATGCTGATATGCATCCTGTTTTTATTACAGACGTTATCATTTCAAGATCCATTTCAAGATCAAGTACAAAGCAAGCTTGAGGAAATCATTCTTATTATATGCAAATGCATGTATTTTAGTGTAAGTTTTTATTAACATGCTGATCTACTTTGGCCTACATTTTTTTATGATAGTACAAGGTTCATAATCGTAACATGCTGACATTTGTTTTCCTGGATAACAGCTGATATTAGATATTGAGCATGATTTTGCAACTTATGTATTGTGTATCTATCTTATAACTAGTAGGGCTTATTGATTGTTAGATTTGTTACACCATAGTTATCGTAAATCAAGTTTATTTAGAGCAATCATGTACCCAACTCTTTAGTCGCAACTTCTGGGGGTACCTACGTTGCTCCTTCACATTTTTGTTGAAGGACAATGTCAAGGTTCAATGACTCAGATGGCCACATGTCATATCTTACTGTTTCCGTCTGGATGCTGCTACACGTCCACCTATCAGCCTGGAGACAGCTAGGACTGGCAAGGGTGGCTGCATCTCTAGTTTATTCAGCAGTTCTGGGAGGGGCCATGAAACCTTCTTTGTGACCTAGGCTTTCTTTTGCCTTCCTATATTTTTGTTTAATTTGTTAGCTTGAACTTGACATAGGTTTTTTTTATTGAAGAACTGTAAGGTGTTCTATATATTTGCAGACCACCTATGTTCTGGAATCATCTTTTTTTTTAAAAGTGGAGATTAGTCTAATTTTTTAAGGCTATAATCATAGTTTATTGAAAATTTTATTGTCATGGAATTTATCTTTTCAATATTGTAGTTTTATGATATCTACATATCTGGATGTGATTCACCATCGTATATTCTGATACATGAGTTATGATTGATCATATGGTCATCCTATAGATTTCTTTTTTTTAGTTGAAGGGCCATATTGGCAGTCTACAAAATATCAGATGCATACGCCCTCGATAATCAATTAATCTTTTTTAAATAATTCCTTCTTGAATAATTGAGTAACATGTTGAAATCATGATGATCTGTTTTAGCCATACCTTCATTATCTGGTCCGATGTTATTAACTATGTGATTCTTTTAACATCTTGATCCTGCTGATTTAATATGGCACCTGCTGCTGATGATCTGCTGATGATATCAAATAAATAATAATTGTACATGTACCAGATCAGATAACATCTTGAGAAGCACTAGTCTTTGATATTGGAAAACATAAGAATGATTGAATAAGGCAGAGAAAGCTGCTTGATACCATTGTTCTATGATATTTCAGCATGTAAATATGACTTGAAGAAGGTGGCCAGAGCTGTTTGATACTTCTCTATGTAAATTAGCATACTATGCAGCTTATTTAGGGTCAAACATGCAATTAACAAACTCTTTATCTGTTTTAGTTTTTTCCCAAATTGGACATCATAGATGTTAAAGACTATATAATTTCATGCAGTAGCATGATGGATGATAAATTCAATTCCAGGTCAATTTCTTTCTGATGGATCTGTATAAAGACCTTGGTCTTGTTTTCCTCATATCTCAACAAGTTTTTGTAATTTAACAGAATTTTGTATTCAACTTTACTATTATATTGTTATGATCTTTATGCTACTCAAAAATTTAAAATATTTGGTTTTAACAGGTAAGGTCATATATGCCATCTGCATTGGGCCCCATTTTACCTTCTTTTTGTCATGACTTGTTTCGGATACTGGATTCATTGAGTTTAGATGGTGCTTCTGATGATGGATCTCTGCTAAGACTGAAGATTGCAAAGAGAGGTTTGATAATTTTTTCTGCTTTGGTGACACGTCATCGGAAACACGTTGACAGGTAACCTCTCATTTACTCATAATTTTGTTTATGCAACAACATATTATTGACCTTGATTTCTTTCTCAGGCTGATACCTAGTGTAGTAGATTGTGCATTCAAAATAGCTAAGCAGAGTGGTAACACATGTGTAAGTTGTTTTCATAAACTTGTTCATTCTTTGTTAATTCATTGCACTCTCTGATTTGTTAACTATTTCACAAATCTATTGCTTTATCCTCTAGAAATGAGCATTGCATGCATGAAAGTTCCCTACATAAAATAAGCCTGCAGAATTTTCGGTTTAGGGGTTTAGTTTATTGTTGCTAATGTACCATCATATTATGGAAATAATTTTTTTGTTTAATTAGTTTGTGCATCTTTTCTTCTCATAGAGTTCTAAAACAGTGAAGGTCATGCAGAATTTGGATTGTATCTCAGAGCGGATTATCTCCTTGGCATTTGATGTCATCTCATATATATTAGAATCAGGCCCTGTAAGTTCTTAATATTTCCTTCTTCTGATTTGAACTTTTACAAGAGGGTGGGCTAAGTGTGGTCAACTGTTTTTGTTTGTTAAGTGGTGAAATCATAGATGAGAATTTATTGTGCCGCGGTATAGTAATGCTTACTGTAAAGTATTGAAACCATATTTTAAAATGTGCTAGTCCTTTTTGTTTTAACAAGATATGGTGGCTTACTATAGGAACCTGTAGAAAGGGTGGTACAAAACACTGTTCATATGTTACATAAACCTTATACACCTTTTCAAAGTTTTTATTTGTTTTTGGAAACTTTTTTACAGGGATGGAGAGTTGTTTCACCCCATTTTTCTTCACTGCTTGATAATGCAATCTTCCCAGCGCTGGTTTTGAATCAAAAGGTAGTTCATTATCACCAATGATATGGCATTGTGTATACTGTGATAATACATGCGCTACATTGTTTCCTTCATACTGTTAAGTGTTAACTATGAAATTTAGTTGGGTTTGCATGTGAGCAGGCTTTTGTATGTCATATTGAGGATGCATATTTTTATGTTTGTAACTATTTTAAACTTTGTTTATCAAGTTGACCGACTGTTGGTTATGGTGGTCCGACATATTGTCAAGCCTAAACTCATAATTGTGATCAGAGTTATTTACATGTTCACTACAGGTCTCAGGCACATATTACAAATGATTTAGGGAGTTTTGAAGTTTTGCATATAAAAAAATGTGTCATCCTTTTGAGTCTTTTGGTTTTAGCCTTGTTTACTTGATTAATTTTTCTTGAGTACACCTAGAAAGTTGTTGACTGAGTTACATTATCAACTTGCCATACTGGCCCATGTAGTCTCTGTAAATGCAATACTTTAATACAGATGGAAAATTGCCAGCCGAGGCAACCATGTAAAAAGTCACTTCCAGTCTTGGTGGACATGTGAAAAGTTCAAGTGCGTGCTAGATGATATTTTATCTAGTTTTCACTAGTAAGGAACTAAGGATTACAACTTTATTTTTTTCCCTTTGTTGTCTTATTGTATGTATCAAAAGCGACTTGAACACGAAATTTTCCTGATGAACATTTGATAATTAATATCTTTGATATATCCTTCTGATTTACATGAATATGCAAGAGAGCACCAACTGCTTTGAGCATTCAATTGTTCTAATCAGGCTTTCTTTGTGAAGGATATCTTAGAGTGGGATGAGGATGCTGAGGAGTACATACGGAAGAATCTCCCTTCTGATATTGTATGATTAATGTTACAGATTGTTGACAATACGTTGTGGTTTATTCTTTATGAAACCATATTAATTTTTGTATCACAGGATGAAATTTCCGGATGGGCTGAAGACTTATTTACTGCAAGGAAAAGTGCAATTAATTTACTTAGTGTTATTGCAATGTCGAAGGTTATGACTCTTGACATATTTGTTTCCTATACATTCTTTTGAGTACTACTAATTTGCCTTCATATTGTTCCCTGAATAATATGTTGAACCTATTAAGGTCGTTGAAATTGACCAATATAAAAGAGGGTGACATAATGCACGAGGCTCCTGCTGGCGTGGGGCTTGGGAAGGGTCATGTATGTAGTTTTAATCAATTTCTTCTATCGTCAGCGGTGGTTAATGCAGTAAAATTGGTTTTCTTTTCCACTGAATAACATACATCAGTTTGTGAAATCCAATTCTCAGCATTCTTTTAAAAGGATGCTGAGATATCATGATGAGCCAGAACATGAAGCTAAAAGGTTATTTGACCTTGTAGAGACTATTTGAGTTGGTATGCAATGACTAGACAGTCTGTAAATATCAGGAAGAGTCCAACAATCCAATGGACACTTTTTTCATTAAAATGAGGCATATCCATGAGGCTCCCACCAATCGGGGTCTAGGGAGGCCAATGTATACAACCTTAACTCTAGGTAGATTATTTTCGTAACTGATTTCCCTGGTCGCAAAGGAATGACCTGGTACCACACCCTCAATGGACATTGATTTCATTTTGGAGTAGAAATCATAATTCAATTGTAATGCACTTTAGAAAACTCGGACTTATATTAGAATAAATCAATAAACGGGTTGTAAAGTTTTATTTGCTGAGACAGTTAAGGCTTACATTTTATTGCATCAGGTATTGCTTAATACTGTTACATATTAGGGGACATGAGTTTTGTGTAGACTTTGGCAGGCAGCCTTAACAATGATATGGTTGAAGTGGTTTTAGCTTTTAGTGAAGATGTTTCCTTGTCAGTTTTGAGTATGTCTATCTGGTCAACTTATTGTCTCAACTTGAAGGTACAATTTATCTTCAGGTGAAACACATCATACTAGCAAGTAGCAAGTTGATTCTGTCTGTCTGTCTGTCTCTCTAACTAATGCCCTTGGTTTTCTTTCTATCCCTTTTAATTGTCAAGTATTGTGTTTGCAGGGTCCACGTATTGCCACTGCCACTACTAAACGTAAAAAAGCAGACAAGAGTAAAGGAAAACAAAAGGAATCCTCTATCGGGGAACTCTTGGTTATACCATTCCTGTCCAAGTTTCCTATGCCCTATCATGGGGATAAGGCCTCATCAAAGATTGTGCACAAGTGAGTATATATGACAGGCTGGCATTGTAGTACCAAATACCTACTGCATTAAACTCCATGCATCAACAGATTCTCTCCACATTGCTCTTAACACATCCCCAGACTTGATTTATTCTGTGCTTTTAGTAGTACTGCTCCTGTTAAAATTGTTCATTATATTGGCAGTTACTATGGTGTTTTGATGGCTTATGGCGGTCTTCCAGATGTGAGATGTGTTCTGTTTTCTTTATCCTGTTAGTTTAAAAAAAATCTTGGTAGAGTGAAATTGGAGGATGATTTTGTTTCTTTTACAGTTCCTGAGGGAGAGAAATTCTGAGTATACAACTACTTTAGTTAGAAACCGTGTGCTTCCATTGTATTCATCATGTCCATTTGTTCCATACTTGGTTGCCACAGCAAATTGGATAATTGGGGAGCTTGCTTCCTGCCTTCCTCAGGTGCGCATACTATAACAGTTCTTCAAGCTTTAAAATCATTAATAGCTTTTCTGATGTGCTAAACAGAAATGGTCGTCTCATAAAAAACCACATTTTACACTTTGGATATCTTGGTCATACTGGAATGTTTTTCAAAATAAGAATCAAATATTTAGCCTTCTGATATTAATACAAGTAAAAGAGAAGCGTAGAGTGTTGTAAAACTTTAAGCTTAGTTTTGAGAAACTTGGATTCTAGTTGTGTTATCACTAAGTAAATTAATTTAAACAGTGCAGTTGCCCTTTATCAAAAAAATTTGTCTAGTTTTTTACTAAACCACTATTTTGTGAGTTCATGATAGACAGGATGTTAAAGGACATTGCTAACTACAATAGATCAGTATTATATCAGTGAATAACTTAATGCTTTTTCTGGGAGGGATGTGCAGTTTCTAACATCAGCTCAATCTTAATGTAGGCCATGAGTTCAGATGTTTATGATTCATTGATCAAGGCATTGACTATGCCAGATATAAATGGTATTAATTGCTATCCTGTCCGTGCTTCTGCTGCTGGGGCCATCATAAGGCTTCTTGAGGTTAGAACCATTTATTGATCTTTGTCTATTTGACAAATGTGGAATTTTCTTTATGTTTGTTTTTTTTGCAGAATGAGTATGTTCCTCCTGACTGGCTGTCCGTCCTGGAAGTTGTGGTTAACCAGATTGCTAATGGAGAAAAAAATGAGTCATCTTTTCTGTTTCATCTTCTAGGCACTGCAGTTGAGGCTGGACAAAACATAATTTCTGCTCATATTCCAATGCTCATCTCTAGTGTGGTTGGTGCAATTGTCAATCACATACCTCCAATTCCGGACCCTTGGCCACAGGTAGTTTGTTGATTAAATCTTGCCCTATTTAGGTTTGTGATATCCATAATGTCTATAGTTTAGTATAATACTATGCTGTTCAAGTTTGCTTCATTTATATCAACAACAACAACAACAAAGTCGTAAATCTCAATTATTTTGGATCGGCTACATGGATTTTTTATTGTCATTAAAATATGTAAAAAATCATATGTTTAGTTAAGTTTAGAGTATTTAAATTTTTATTTATAGTTTCTATGAAATTTTTTTTTAGGTCTTCCTCTATCTCTTTTCGTACTACTAACATTAATTATTTCACTTCTTCTGATTATTGAATCTGTAGTTCTCCTAAGCATATTCCCGTACTATCTTAAATGATTCTCTTTTATCATATATTCTGTTGAAACGATATGTAATTGTGCATGAATAAAAAAAAAATTTCTTCTATCTTTTTTAGTAACTCCACACACCCATCTCAATATTTTTATTTTAGCAATAAATTTTTTTTGTATATGTTGTTTCTTATGTCCAACACTCAGATTCTTTAAACATTATTGGTCTAACAACTGTCTCATAATTTTTTTTTTAAATCTCAAAGATATCCGATGATCACATAAGACTTTTGATGTCTACTATCATTTTAACTATCCTGTTTTTATTCTATGAATAATATCTTTATCGATCTTTCCATATTGTTGAATAATTTATCTGGGATACCAAAAACTTTTACTTAAAGGATCTCTCCATATTGTTGAATAATATCTTTTTGTACTCTTATTTGCAATACTGTAATTCTTTGCTAAATTGAGACACAAGTATGATAGAGAATTCATGACAAGGTTTATTTCTTCTTTGCATTTCTGTGTCATGTTCTTGCTATACTTGCTAAATTGGACACTCAGGTACATGCATCTATTTCTTGTTTGTACATGCAACAGTGCTTGGGAAACCATTACAGCCAGTAAATATGGAAATTTATCTGCCTTTCATCTGTTGTTTGTTCTCACATGAAATGTAACTTATCTTTGTTGCTTGTTTTATTCTGTGTATTATTAACAAAAAAATAAAGTTAATGTTTTGCTTAAGGTGGTTGAGCGAGGTTTTGCTGCATTAGCAGCCATTACAAAGACCTGGGAGGCTTCTAGTGCAGGTGAAGCCCTGGAACATGATGACAGGAAGTGGGAGTCTGCCCAGGCAGTAATTGCAAGGACATTTGCAACTTTGTTGTATCAGGCTTGGGCAGTGTCTGTGCAGTCAATTGTAAGTCTCTGTATTCTTCACTTACCTATGTTATTCTGGAAGCGATATGTCAACATCATTCACTGTTCTCTTGTATTTATTATGTTGATAAGGATTCAGCAGATAGAAGTACATCACCACCTCTATCATGTTTAGATGATGCCTCCACATTGCTTGGATTGATCTTGAAGTCTGCTACTAAAAAGAATGAAATTGAAGAATTGAAAATACCAGAGTTGTTAGCCTTATGGTCTGACCTTATATCAGACTGGCATGGTTGGGAAGAGATGGAGGACTTGGCAGTTTTTGATTGCATTCAAGAAGCTGTCAATCTACAGAGAAGATGTGATTCTACAAACTTCTTGTTGACAAGGATATCATCTCGTGTTTCTCCTGGTGTGGACCAATCGATTATTGAAGGTGTCTCTGCTTTTGTCACCAAGGGCATTATGGCATACCCATCTGCTACTTGGAGGGCTTGTTCATGTGTTCATGAATTACTACATGTCCCTTCGTTTTCATTTCAGATGCAATGTGTCAAGCAGTCCATTATTACTTCGTTCACACAGGCAGCTTTTTCTCATTTTAAGGATTTGCGTAACAAGCCTACTGGGCTTTGGAAGCCTTTGTTGCTGGTCATTTCATCATGCTATATATTGTGTCCTGAAATTGTTGAGCAAGTCTTAGACCGAGATGAGGATAATGGCTTTATGATTGTTGCATGCGGGTTGGCACATGTCTCATCAAGATCTTTTGATTCTGGTATTTCATCAGTATCTGAGATCAAGTTAGCTGGTAAGCCACCAGATACCTTTTAAGCTCTTCTTTTCCTCATATTGTTCTGGTACTTATTTTTTGTCAATTGCAGTGAGGATTTCTGTTAATTGTTCTGGAACATTATGCAGTGATTACACTGGAAAAGTTTGTTGAGCGACTTGTAGCCTTCCCATTGGAGGATGGCAATAAGGTTTTGCAAGATTGTCTTGTGTCCTTGATGGAGGCATTCCTGCATCTTAAAGAAGTCGAGGAGAAAGAAGCTGAAGAGAGTGATAGCGAAGTCATAGATGATGAATATTCAGATGAAGAGATTAGTGATAATGAGGTAAATGAATGCTAAGTACTTTAATAGTTTAAAATGCTTAGCTCAGATTTTGTTTTTTTAGTGTTCTGCAAGTTTCCCATTTTCTGGTATTTGTTGCTGAGCCATACTCTTGCAATCCTTTTTTCTGTAGATGTACTTTTCAAACATATCACATTTATATGAGGCTAAAGATAATGCAATGAACCTTACTGTTGGGAATGTGTGTTCTTTGTTTAGGATTCTGAGGATGACGACCAAGAAGAGACACAAGAAGAGTTCTTGGATAGATATGCAAAAGCAGCTGATGAACTAAGTGAAGTAGTTGCAGGAGACATAGAAGATGGAGTCCAAGATCTTGAACTAGGTAAGCTTCACTTAAATTGATATTCAATTTGCTTGTGCTCAGTTATTTAAAATTACATGTTTTATTTTTCATTTAAATTACCCTCTCATATAGTAAAATACTAGGAATTAAGAGTTTCCAGTACCGGTTGGTATGGTTTAGTAGTGGTGGTATTTACCGATTCAATAGGTTACTGGCATATGACCAAGGTAAACTGGTTGGTAGTTCGAAATGCACGTTATAGGGTCGGTACCACCTGGTATATGATTGGATGGCCATTCATACAAAGGGTGGTATAGGTTTTGTACCAGATAGTTTCTTTTTTTCTTTTTTAATTTTTTTTTCAAAACTCGATATATATTGGTGTACCAGGTGTCAGTAGATCAGCATGGATCGGTTTGGTACTGGTCGAAGCCTTGACCAATGCAGTAATGGTTCATGAAATTATGAACCTTGCCTTCAACATATATTTTTATTTTATGAAAGTTTCTTTTAAGCAAATTGTACATGGTTTTAGGAATACATACATTTGTAGGATCCAGTGAATACATACATGAGTGCTCGCTTAGGCGCCAAGGCCATGCGAGGTGAGGCCTACATGCTTGGGAAGTGGTCCAAGCAGGTGCCTTCAATTGGGCGTGGCCCAAGCGATCGCTTGGGTCGTGGTGTTGGGCGGGCTAGGTGCACACTTGATTCAATTGATGCGTGTGTGGGTCTATTACTTAATTTTGGTTCGATTGAACCACCTAGCCTGCATGGTTCATTCAACCAGAGCCAACATCTATTGAGCGCCACTCACCCCACATGCACGAGCCCCTGCCCCCTTTGGAAACCTAATCGCGACGGCGATGTCTTCCTCTCCAGTGAATGACGACAGTCCCCTTTGAAAACACAATGTAGTACTTTGGTATTTTAAATGAATGTAATTTAATATTTTAGTGGTGATATTTAAAATATAAAGATATATAATTTATGTAATTTATTATTTTTATTTTAGTCATCGTATTTCTCCTTAATTATATAAATTTATGAATTTTAATATTTGCGGGCGTCTTGTTTCGCTTGGGCAAGTGCCTAACACCTCAGGCATCTTGGTACCTTAATGTTTTTTACCGCTTAGTGCCTTTGAGGTTTTGACTACATTAGCATTGAGCACCATCTTATAACCTCAGATATTTGATCTTTAAAAGCAAACTAATGGTAATTGTGTTGAATGTTAGGTGCAAAAAATTTTTGGTTGTTGATAAAACTAATCTTAGCTTTCTAAATACTCTGTATATATATGTGGTATTATTTTTTTTAAAGATTCTCTAGGTTTGACGGGAGAAAATGATTTAAGATGGTATGAGCATGTGCGTAGAAAACCTCTGGATGCAGTAGTTAGAACTTAGAAGAGATAAAATTGTTAATGTTAGTGATATGAGAAAAGGTGGAGGAAGACCTAAAAAGCATTTAATAGAAACTATAAATAAAGACTTAAGTATTTTGAACTAAACTAAATATATAGCTTTTTATATATCTCAATAGTGATAAAAGATCCATATACCCAAACCTAAATAGTTGGAACTTACAGTTTTATTGTTGTTATGGGTTTGATTGTTAGAAAAACCTTTTTTGTGAAATATAACTAATGAGAAATCAAACTTGAAAATCATCTTTCACCATTATGTTTCTAAGTGCATTTTCTCTAATAAATGACTTTTAGTTCCATTTGATAGTAATTTTGAATTGGCACCTCAGATGTTTTTTTTCTCAATTCATTCTTCTGATCGGACTTCCACATCTCTAAATTTGGCCATAAAAGTCCATCAAGTTGCATTTCAAACAGGCACAAAACTGAGTGATTTTGAAACATATGATGACATGTTGCTGTTCCGAAGAACTTTCTTTTCAGACTCCCAAATGTTGGAGACCCTTTTCACCAAATGAATGATAACAGCTTCTAGCCTCTATAGTTTCTTCCATTTTCCAAGTTGTTCTTTCTCTGCCTGATCTATCACTAGTGAAGAGATAATGTTATTTTGAGCAAGTCCCTTTGCTTTCATCCTCTGTTCGAAATGTTGCCTAGTAGAGCAAGAGATGAAAGTTGCTGATCTCTGCTAATGCATGCAATACGCACTTCAGGCTAGCATTTTATATAATGAGGATTTTATTTGGTGGTAGTGCTTCAATATGCAATGTGTCTTAAATGGTTATATGTGGCTCTGCACTGTAGGCCCGGTTGATGAGATTGATGTGCGAGAAGAAGTTCTATCCTTAATAAGGAGACACCACCAAGTTCTCTTGAAGGGGCAAGTGTTGTCATCGGGCCTCATCCAACAGATGCTTGATGCATTTCCAGAATGCACCCCTCTATTGCAAGTACATTGACAAAGTCAGCTTGGGCATTCTTGAAACCCAAATCCAGATGTTTGTTCTGTTCTCTATATATGTTGTGTGACCCCTACTTATTTTTGAGGATGTCATTTTATTTGCCAAATTCTATTGTGATTAATTTTCTTTTTCTTCCTCCAGCTTGTTCTCTATATATTTACATTGTATATCGGGTTTCTCATCGGTGCAGCTCTGTTCTTTCCTTTTTTTCTTTTTAATTTTGATTTGCAATCAAGCTGTCACCATTGAAAAGAGTTCTTGATGCCAGCCAGTACTCTCACTTAAACTGTTTTATGAAATTGGGTGCATTAATTTTTTTTTTCGCAAATATTATATTATTGTAAAAAAAGGATACAAAACATTTTTTTAACAAAAGAAACCGTTGTGTTTCTGATATTTTTCAATTAAGAAAAAAACAGCGGTAATGCCGGTTGGTTCTTTTATCTGTTTTCCATCAGATTTGATGCTTTCGGGTCCGGATTCTAAGAACACTGGTAATCATTCTTACTCTTTCTTTGTCCAACTTAAATGAATCCCTCACCTTTTGTTGCGGTTCCAATTAGATTTCTTTGTGCTTATAACTCAAGCCGCTGCTAAACATTTACCACATTGTACCTAAATAGTTCCTGGGACCAACCTGTTTGATATAAATTGTGGTGTAGGTTTTGGTGTTCTTTTGCTTGCCTTGCATGAATTCCACTAATGATCTGCAATTGCAAGTAATTCATCTTCGATCTTTTACATCTAGTTAGACAACAAGGCTGTAACCTCATAGAGAGAGAGAGAGAGAGAGAGAGAGAGAGAGAGAGAGAGAGAGAGGGTCAACTCTGTGTCACCATGAATCTAAAAACAAGCAACATGGTAAATGCAGCGACGTCAGGGATCGAAACCTCCCATGGGCTACAGGCTGCCGCACCATCTTGGAGTCAACGAGTTGAAAACTACGTCCCTCCCCGACACAGACAAGCTCGAGACGACAAGCCCCGCCGAACCCAATGCGCTGACTTGGAGAAAGCAACCCAATTATGAGAACCAGAAGTTTCTCGCGCGCGCTCTCTCTCTCTCTCTCTTCATGTTTCCAGAGAACCACAGCCACTACTTTCTCCTCAGCTCGTGTCCTCCCGATCCACGCTGTCCAAAACCAGCTTCTTCGGCCGAGCATGGACATTCTCGTGAACTCAGAACTCAGAATCCTCAAAGTTCGCGTGTCGTCAAAAGCTGAAATCATGAGGAAATGACACAAACTCTAATTCTACTGTTTCAATAACAGAGACATGACAGATGTTTCCGCATCTCTCTGCTTTGTATGCTGTGCAGAGATTTCCTTGAGAGTATTGGTTGCTTTAAGAAATGAATCATGGAAATACCACAAACATGTGGTATCATTTTCTATTTCCTTTGGTTTTTCTTTCTCTCTCTTTCGTTCGTCCTTCTTTTGAAATGAATTCACAAGGTTTCATTGTGACATCGAATCAAACAGGCTGTGCAAAGAAGCAGGGCAGTCGATTTGATAGAATTTGGAGAAATATAAAGACTCGTTTATAGTTTGCTGAAACACTACATAATCTCCTCTATATGGAGAGGGAGAGAAGTTGAGGATACAATATTTCACATATATGATGGCAAGATATAGCAATCCACACAAAAGAAAACTACATTCCATCTCTTCTTCTACTTCATTGGAGAATTCAGACCACCTTCTCCTAGCTTGGAAGGTTTGATCTCTCCCATCCTTGGACTGAATGCCCTTCTGCCACCAACCCGAGGACTGCGCTCCGGCCTCAGTTCGCCCACCCGAGGGCTGTAAGCTTTCTCCGACAACCGTGGACTACTGAGGCCCCTGACGTCTGTCGCTGGTGTACCTCCCGAGCTCGTCACTTTAGGACTGTTCATGTGTTTGATCTCGCCTCGGCTCCTCGTCACGATCTCATCCAGGACCTCTCTGGTCTCTGAGAAGGAGTATCCTCTTCCCATGTCGACTTCCTGCCACAAGCAAGCCAATGCCATCAGCAAATGCTGCAGAAGAACAGTTTGTTGGATCGGACGTGACCCGAGAGACAAACCGTGGGCAAGTTGAAGGTTATGGCTGGTGATTCTTCGTACTCTGCTGCATCCAGATCGGTAAGGTGGGCACCTTTGAAAAGCTTGGGGAGAATGTACTGCCGCACCGGCACCAGAAGCATGATCATGAGGGGAAAGAGAACCCCTGCGATGGGAATCCACGTTATCCCGAAGCATACGAGCAAGTACGCGGTCTGGAAGATTGTGAAGGCAGTGATCGCCTTGAAAGGTACGCTTTCCACGAAGGTCGCGTGGTAGTCCTCGAGCACTCTGTGAGATCGAACCCCATGGTTGAGCAGGCAATACAATCGGCAATAGAGCTCTTACAAACTAGTGAGCTTACTTGTATCTTCTGCTTGGTGCAGTGAAGAGCAGCAGAATCCTCTCCCAGAACTGGTTTCCAGGCAGGCTTTCGATGGCCATGAACGCGAAGTATCCCCACAGAACAGACGTGGGGATCTTCTTGAGGAGCGGCATGGCCGCAACACACCCTGCTACCATCATGGCCTGTAACAGGTTGCTTAGACGCTGCTCTTTGACCTCAACCGGAAGAAGGTCATCGATTTCCTTGTCGATATCGAACACCGAATCATCGACAGGTGCGTCCATGCTCCCCATGCTCGAAGCCAGCTGAACCGTAGAGTCCTTTAGCTCCTTCAATCCCTGCACGGTACGTTCATCACAACCTACAAGCGATTCAGAACCAGAAGACAACAACGACGACTGTAACTTCTCGTACTCGAGCTGACTGTCCTTGGTAGATCAATGGCGTCTGCATTTGCCGATACGCGTCCTGCATGCTTCCATAGAGCTGACTTAAGCTTGAGTTCTGACTCATACTCTGGCGTGCAGTGGCTACCAGCCGATTACGAAGCAGCTGCGAGGAGTTCTCTTTGTTAGGAACTCAGCAAAGCATGAGACGAACAGAGGCAGTGGCTTACTTGATGCTTGAGAGTGGCCAGACTCTTGGTGTGCATGGGAGATTGTGGGATGACACCATTGGAAGGCGGAATTCCGATCAGACCACATAGCAACGTCTGCCATGCAACCCCAAGTTAACCCAAGAGCTAATAATGTTCGGTAGATGCAGCAGGAGTTGCAGGGAGAAAGAGAGAGTACCAAAAAACCCAGAAGAAGCAGGTCATAGTGGAACGATGGTGGCTTTCTTAGATTGAACTCCTGCTGCTGAGCAAGCTGAGATGCCACGCTGTGATCGAAGTAATACAAAACTGCAATCATGGTGGCCGGTATGAAAGCTCCAAGGATGTAGAGGAAGGGCACGTTCAACATGTCCTGTGAGTTGCGAGAAGATGACACGACCAATACACCATGAGAAGATCCAACACGACCAGCAATGGAGTCATGCATACCTTGATCACAGTCCAGTTCTGATAGGCACCAGGTGACCATGGATTTGGGCTGAGGAGGCGTCTCGGAATCCCTCTCGGAACACCACCTGCCGGCATATACGAAACTCCGGTCCACACGAGCACCATGAGCGGCACGCCGTAATCCGCGATGAAACCTCGCAGCCATCCTGCAGAGATCACAATGTTTGATTCTCGCAGGCCATTGCGGTGCGAAGAAGGAGATCGAAGAAGATGCGTACCGGTGCCGTAGCGCCATGATCGTGCCTTCCTGCTTCGCAGCGCGGTGAGCAGAAGCCCAAACGACAGAACCAGAGCAAACATGCCATTGGCAAACCTCCAAGACGACATCAACGCTACATCTCTTGGGTCCTCTCTTTTCGGTATCCGGAACTCATCAACAAGCCCCTGCATGTGTCATCAACACCATGATCTAGTCGTGAGCAGATGCAGATTTGTGTCGAACCAAAGCAGAAAAATCTGTTCTGTTCCTACCTTGATGGCCTGCTGCATGAACAGCATTGCGATCAGGAGGCCAAAAAGCTCCCCAGCTAAACGAGTAAATCTATTGATGATAGAACAAGCACCTAAAATGGCTAACAGGAAGAGCAAGAACGCAGTCCAAACACATACCCTGCGTGATTCAGACAACACAAAAGATTACGTTGCATCATTCGATGTTTCAGCCTACATACACAAGATTACTTGTTCATTAGCTCACCATCCCGTCCATGCCAGGAACATGTTTCGACCGAGATCGGCACGATCTTTGACGAAGTTGAACATGAAGGTGTACATGAGCACGGTGGGCTCTGCGACTCCAAGAATCAGCAGAGGCTGTCCTCCTATGATGGAGTGTATGATGCCACAGAGTGCAGTCGATGCCAGAGTTTGAACTGCTGTTAGAACACCATCTGCCGAAACCATGCAGGCACAAATATGTCACATGAATCAGATTGCAGCACACAACATGTCGGCTCTTGAGATTATAGTTCAGCTCACCTGTGTTCCTCTCCAACTGTTCTCCAAATGATATGACTGGGATTGCTGATGCAAAGAATATGTATGTAGTGGGAGCCAAGATCCTGAAACAAATAGCTTTGTTGACTAACACTATCATGTGTAGATTTGCTTGAGAATTCCTAAAGGAATGACTACTACCTGATGCCTGCGTTGAAGCCACTACTCCAGTCCTGCTTGTAGCACATCAATCTCCCTCGAAGGTCATTCTTGATTCCGTGAAAAGGTTCGAAGGTCTCCTCCATGCTTGTATTGGATTTGGCCAAATATGCTCTCTAAAACAACTTTATATCGAATGGATGGAAAAACAAACGAGGCATGGAAGCTTAAATTGATGCTGAGTGATCTGCTTGCTCAAGGAAGAATGCAGCTCAAGGACATTGATATCGATGATCTCATGGAGTTTGGAGAAGACACATGCAACAAATGAATCAAGGACTATGAATCTCCAGTATCAACAAAAGCTGAGAAGGGTCCAAGAGAAGCTTTGAGGCTTTTCTTGCATCAGTTCACTGCCATCAATGGATGCAGAGGGACACTGGGAATGCTTGATAAAAGTCCAGGTTATATAGGTGGTAAAGCTTTGAAAAGGAAACATGTACATGATGGTGAGCAATATGGTCAAGGTAATCAGTGCGAAGACATCACTATCACTGCCTAAAAGCTTCAAAGAATAATGACTCTCAATTTACTGTGCCATAAAGTATATACCAGACAAATTAAATGTTAGAAGAGGAGTGGTCTCTCTCTCTCTCTCTCTCT